AACACTTATTAAGCCAACCGCTTGAATAGCAAACAAACATATCAATCAATGGAATAATCCAAACTTCGTGACTATTCGCAATCCTCCGAGACCCAAATACACCCCCTCATTGTATCCCTTAAAAGTCAATGACTGAGAAACAAGAACTCGTCGTGGGTGAAAATTAACGACCCCATCAGTAACGTAATTTGAACTTTTATTAACCGCTATAGACGGGGTCATTTCCAAACACCCACATTCTCCTGTGACTGTGAAATTGTATGTTACTATGTTTTTATTACCAATACAACCCACCAATCTGCCACCTAAGAGAAGGAAGCATCACGACATAAAAGTGGGTGTGATACAGACTAATATCCAAATCCTCCCACTTAATTCATCTGAAATAAAAAAAGACAAATCATTTTCTCAATCAATAATTCATACTCAACTCCTTGAACACCTCTGTTGTAAATTTGGATGAATGATTTCTATGAAAACATGACGGAAAGTGGCAAATATTAAAAATACTGGGAGCAGATTTTCAAGTCAGTGGTAATTAATTACCGGGTAGTACATAAAACATTTATAAAATCAAACACAAGCAATCATCAGGGTTCAATTCTTGACAAGCAGTACCAGTGTATTAGATATTTATTTTCGTAAATTATGCGTGTGTAACAGTTATTGTCAGAGAGTTGTTTCATGCTTTGTTTCAAGCATTGTATCATGTAAACCGGGACAAAGCAGAGTTACAGTTGAATCCTCATTGACCTTTTCAAACACCAGACTCTCGCCAAAATTTGACTGCACTTTTTTTTTTTTTTAAATATTCTTCATTTTTTCTGGGAATGAGCCCTAATTTAGGAGCTAACAAACGCTAAATTTTAGTCAATTTTCAGTTTTTACCCAACAAATTTGGGTATTTTTGTTCCAATCTTCTGAAGCAAATGGCATACTATAAATGGGACTATTTTGTGACATAGTGTTGAAAAGAGGGAACTTGTGGTGAAAAAGGATATGCCTGATATTATTATTATTATATGCAGTATTTCAACTTGTCATAATTATTCCAATGTAGCCGTGGTTCGCAAATAAGCAGTGTAGAATTTATAAATTGTGTGAAACCAGGGTCTGAGTATGTTTGTGTCATGGGCATATGACTCTAATTAACTCCTTCTACACTAAGCGGTGAACATTTAATGCCAGAATTTTTCCCCATTGCAAATCATAGTTGCTGGATGAATTATTAATAAATTTAAATCCAGGAATGATACAATTCTCATTTTATTTTATGAAAATCTAATGAAAGTCAGCGTTTTTTCCAAAAAAGCAAATTACGCAAGGCATTCAAGAATAATTTAATTTAATTTAAGACTGTTGTAAATTATCTCATGCTGGTGATAACCACATTTTTTTGGTATCCTCAATGATGTTAATTCATAATAATGTTAACATGAACAGATGACATGTAATCTTTAATTTGATGTGAACCTCCACAAAGCAAAGGGAGGAAAAAAATCAATGAATTTGCATCCTTTATTAGGATATTTAAAATGGCATATTGAATTTGTAATTTTATTTTTCCTGGGATCTTAAGATAAAACTTTCTTTAATTTTTTTTTCTAAAAGTAACAACAAATTTAATTATAACAAATACTGTAAGTTGTGGTGTGCACAGTTTTAACTGATGTTGATGATTTCTGTGCAAATTCTACAGTATTTCACAATAATATGCATCAAAGCATCGCAGTCATGTTCAAATTTTACGTAAAACAAAGTGTATATTACATGAACAGAACACATGACCTATATCAAACATGACACGACTGACATTTCAACTTGCAAATGTATTTCTATTACAGGTGCCGTTACAAATACTTCCAGTTCAACGTAGAACACAGTTACAGTATTATTCATTTGTAGTACTCATTATCCTCAACATATTGAATATGGCACAGTCAAATTATTATCGTATAATACATTTACATGTCAACATTATTCACCTAAGTTGAGGACTAAATCAAATGGGCTGTTTTTGACATCGATGCAAACCATAGCAAAGAAACTATTATCACTGAGTATGTTATTTCATTCACAAACAACCATTTCATAGATTTAAACTACACTCTTCACAACCCTGAACATGCGAGAGTAGGGTGTGGTGTTTAATTAATTGTAATTTGTTTGTTTTTTCGATGACATAGAACACATTGTTGAAGTCATTAGGAGTACTTGGTTTTATTAAGCCCAATATCAAACAATTTCACCAAATCAATAATCTCAAAATTTGTTACTTTTGATTGGTTACAATTACCATAGCTTTGATTACTGTTGTATAAAATCCATGGCAAAACAACAGAGGATTGTTGGAATGAGTTCAGAGAAAGTTTATCAAATATATGCATTACAGATCACATGTTGTTTTGAATGACAAAAGTGAATACGAATCGCTTTTTTTTTTTTTTTATTGAATATTAACTATTAGGTGGCAAAATTTCTGGACGCACTGTTCTTACATAAATTTGCGACTGTTTTAATTTTTATGTTCCAAACTGTACCAAACCGTAGGCCAATTTTTAATTCCTATGTTGTCATACAAATCTGTATAAATATATAATATTAAAAAATATGAGAATACTCTCCACACATGCACTACCACTAACCGATATTGTAGTACCTATTATCTCGTAGTAATTATTTAAATAGGTGACATTTTTATACATGAATATCTGCATGTGCTAGGTTGACCTGGTTTTTTATGTGCAGTTAATATAAAATGATCCAGTGAAAGGGTAGTCCGACCTTGAGAGAACATTGATATATCACCTATTCACTAGGATGAGTCATGTTTATTAACTTTCGGAATGAAAAACAGTGAATAACTTCGGGATTATATATTTTTAAATGAAACCAAAAATGAAGTTCATAAGTATGATTTTTTTTTTTTGAATAACAGCAAAAATAATAGTATAAAATTAGATGAAAGTGAATTAAACAAATTAAAAAAAAAAATCTCTAAAACCATTGATATTACTGATACAATTTGAAAAAAAATTAACAGAATTTTGTTGGTAATTTATCAAAAATTCTTTTTTTTTTAAATAAAATGAAATAAATGATTTTCTGACTATATTAGAATTGACTTGCTAGTCTTACCTTGTAATATAATTTTATATTCACAACACACCTTCAGGTAACACGTTTCCATTTAAAATCAAGATAATCATCTCTATTTTTACCAAGGATACAGGATGTTATTTGTAGAGTATTATTAAAATAAAATTTTGTATTTTTAGTGACCAGAGCAAAAATATGATATGGTTCAAATCAGGTTTTATTTTGAAATTAAAACAAAACAAAACAAGAATTACAAAATTATCGGGTATAACGTTGTACGACTGTGATCTTAATGATTAAGGCATTTGTACATAATCAAACTGTTTTAAAATTACACTGCACAATAACCCTGCATGGTTCTACTACGTAACCCGCAGGAAAAAGTAGGTTCGAATGATGTGCATGTTTTAGTCTAGGAAATGAAAACCATACCCGGGGGAAGAAGAGAAGCGCGTCAATTATTGCACAACAAACCAGTGATAAGAGATGACCGATAATTTTGAAAAATAACATCGCTCGGTTTGATTGTACTTCGTGACAATTATGACCTTATAGCCATCATGAATTCATCAGTGTCGTCAAAAGTGTGACGCAGTTTCAGGACTTGAAGCGAGTACTATCGGTGGATCAATCGACGCAGTACATGTACACAAGCAAAGACAAAAATATCTGATCTCATCAGAATAACA